CCGCTCATGAATTTCACTCCAAATAATGCACAAATGGTCACGAATGACATTATCACAATTTCTCGGGTCTGCATTGTTAAAATCTTCTATTCACACTGCTCACAGCTCGTTTCATGAACAGGCTGCTCTGCTCCAGAACGCAGGGTACCCGTTCTTTGTGATGCTGGTTGTAGGCATCATGCTAATAAAGAAGCTTAAACAGAGAACGGAACCGTTTTTTAAGGGAGCACAGATTGATTTTAGCCCCGCCGCGGTGGTCTAGTGGCTAAGGTACTCGGCTGCTGACCCGCATGGCGTGGGTTCGAACCCCGGCTGCGGCGGCTGCATTTCCGGTGGAGGCGGAAATGTTGTAGGCCCGTGTGCTCAGATTTGGGTGCACGTTAAAGAACCCCAGGTGGTCTAAATTTCCGGAGCCCTCCACTACGGCGTCTCTCATAATCATATGGTGGTTTTGGGATGTTAAACCCCACATATCAATCAAATCACAGATTGATTTTAACTTAAAAGTGGTAGCAACCTCTTATATGCTTGCGCTATCGCAGATTACAAAAAAAAATTGGCCCGGTATCTGCATCTTTCACTGCAAATGCCGTCAAAAGACGATAGTCTAGCATGTGTAGAGAGTGAACAAAACGTTTATTTAGAATAGTGCGTGAGAAAATCGGTGAATTGTATTCTGGAAGCACTGTGTTAGAGAGTCTCGATCCGTGCAGCGAAGGCGAACGAGCGCATCGAGGCACGTTAGACGCGAGCACCATCTCGCAGTTATCTTCAAAAACGAAGGAATGCATGCGCGCCAGCGCAGAAGGATGCGTGCGATAAGGCGATAAGGTGTAGAACGCAAAACGACGGGCATGTGCCACCACCATGTCGTCTTAGCAAAGCGTGGGAAACACTCCTTTTTGAGCATCGCATTGCACTGTCAGCGCAACGTGATAAACGCTGCGCTGACAGTGCCTTCTCTGTGCCTTCTCTTGTATAAAGGCACACATAAAAAACATCGACGTGTTGTTAGGTGCCTCAGATATGCACAATAATTGCTTTTTAATTGACAATCGCACAGTTATGAACGCTGAAACTTGAGCAATATTGGTGGGCGCACGGATGGGTTTGGCCGTTTGAGGTATCATTTGGTTCCATTAGGGGATTGGTACCGCTCAGAAACAAACAAATGTACAGACAGACAAACAGCCAGAAAGAAAGACAGAGAGACCAAAATTTTAGCTTTGAAAGTCCCCAAGAAAGACTATCGTCTTTAAAAACAATTCGGCAGATCCCATGTACCATGATATTAGACGTTAGGCGAAGCATGTGGAGGGGAAGTGACCATGTGGTAATTTTATATTCTGAAATGAATTTATCTTCTCTCTCTCTCGCTATATATATATATATATATATATATATATATATATATATATATATATATATATATATATATATATATATTTGTGTGTGTGTGTGTGCTGCACGCACAAGCATATGTTGAACAGTTGCATGCCGATGTTTATAAAACCAGTTGTGTGCACTTGCGCAAAGATGCCAACAGGAAGCTGTGTATTAGCAACAGCAGAAGCGATAAGCTGATATGAAGTGCTGGTGCTGGCGAGAATGGTGGCCCTAGACACTGCTACATAAATCAACTTCAGTGGATGACACCCCACTACAGTCGGCGTCAACCTGATGTGACGGCTGTATTATAGGAGTACACATGTAATGTTTCTAAAATTGGATAGCTGGTACTGCCCCCCCAATTGACGTTTCACGAACTACAAAACCTATTTGAAAAGTAGTTTTGAGACCTTGCGTACATTTGTGGTAAACTACTTGAATGCCACGCAGAATGGGCCGTTCGATTTCAACTGGGACTCTGGCAATAATTTTTTGCAGTAGTTGGGTCAACGCCGCCGATGTCTGCTTTTTCTCTCCGTTCCTGGGTGTAAATCACCGGCGGCGCATACCCAAATAGCAGTGGCACATTACCGCTTGCGGTATGTGCCACTATGTGCTGAAAAGTGTTTAACGACGTACGCGACAAGGTTGTAACATTATTAACGTCGTGCTCAGGTTATCGCATTCGTCAAACCATTTTGATTGATATATGGGGTTTAACACCTCAAAACCACCACATGATTATGAGAAACGACGTAATAGAGGACTCTAGAAATTTCGACCACCTGAGATCTCTCAAGGCTGGTGCACACCGGTGACTAGCAGTGGTCGCGTGACCATTCGCGACTGGCGACCGAAAGGCGATTGATGTTCACACCTGCAGAGGCTGCATGTGAGCGACCGAAGCAGCAAAGCCGGAGAGTCACGTCCAGATCTCATTATCAGCCAGAACTCCGGAGACCGGCGCCAATGAGCTGATCGCCGCCAGCTGAGTGAGCGGAGCAAATCGAGCATGCCACATTTATTGTCTTCGTCCGTTGTCGCACAGTGTTCCCAACAACGTCAAGGAGTTCGATTCAAGCGAAGAACAAGAGATTGTCATGATGCTGGTGCGCTGTGCCATGTTAGCGCGGGCAGCACAGATGCCTCCAAAAAAAAAAAAAAAGCTGGTGGTGGGTGTGACCGTCCCTTCGATCGCGGGAGTAGGCCGGCCATGCAAGCCGCCTGCCTCCCGAGCTGCGCTGAGATGACGAGGAGTATTGCCGAGAGTTGTACGTATTCAGAAACGCTCTTGAATTTATCTTGACTTGTCACAGGCTCCTATGCTGCACTAACGCGTCTCGAACGCGGTGTCTTAAGTCGTTGCTAAGGCATGAAGCACAAACGCGTTTCAAACGCGCTGCATTGAAGGCGGTGACAAGTCAAGTTCAAGACAAAAAAATTCCGCCATATCCACGAAGTGAATGATGATGAGTGGGCGAAGCTCCGGAGGTAAACCTGGTAAACCATAAATCCTCTGCACATTTTGCCCACTCGATTTTATTACATCGCTCCCCCTAGCGTACGTCGCCGCACTAAATCGAACGATTGCCTTCAACCAATGACACGCGCCATATGTGACATCATTCCTATTTTATAAGATCTCGCGTCTTTCATCAACTACAAGTACCGCTTTCTAGTTTATAACATCTTGCATCTTTTCATCATCAGCTACAAGTACCACATCTAGTAAACACTACAAGAACTAAACGAGAGGTGGCTACATACAGGAGACGGTACCGCCATCTAGTGAACACTGCAAGAACTAAACTAGAGGTGGCTACATACAGGGGACGGTACCGCCATCTAGTGAACACTGCAAGAACTAAACTAGAGGTGGCTACATACAGGGGACGCACAGCCCACGCCCTAAGGAGCTTCGCCCCTAAAAATGATTCTGAATACGGGGGAAAGATAGTGTACAATTTCTTTTCTCTTTACTTTGACGGTGTTTGGCTTCTTGCGAATGCCGCCACGTTAATTCGATACTTTGCTCGAGCTGCTGCGCCCCGCCATCTCCAAGCCAAGTCTTCCGTGGTGGCCATGGTGCCACAGACTAAGAGGAACGCACTCGTTTGTATCTAGCGGCAGGAGGCCAGCGCAATGAAAAAAAAAAACCAAAAATTGAGCATCGCTGATTGGTTCCAGCAGCTTTGCGACTGCAGTCGGGCGACTGAAAAATTGGTCAGAAAGCGACTAGCCGAATCACACTGCTACCAGTCGCAAATGGTCGCGCGACTGCTCCTAGTCGCCGGTGTGCACCAGTCTTTAACGTGCATCCAAATCTTAGCACATGGACCTACAGATATATCGCCTCCATCAAAAGTGCAGCCGCCGCAGCCAGTATTCGATCCCGCAACCTGCGAGTCAGCAGCCTAGTACCATAGCCACTAAAGCACCGTGGCGGGGCTCGTCAAGCCATCTTACCCTCCCATATTAATTTTGGTTTAGCGCAATTTAAGGGGGTGTTCATGAGGGCACCCAGCCGTAAGCTGATAGATGGATAGATACCGTCAAACTCGCCGAAGTTCGTCAAGAAATGTTCCGTATTTAACAGCTAAAAATAATTTACGCCCATGGTGTCCGCAAAAAGAGTGAAGTGAACCTCTCTTTTCATTTCAGAGACAATCAGGTTGCTAAACATGGCTCGACAGATAAGGGCTATCGCTTTGCACGCACACATGACCGACGTAATGCGACGTGCGGAAATATGCCAAACAAAGAACTGCTAAAAAACTTTTTAACCAGCCAACTCCAGAAAGCACAATCTTCTTAAATTTAATGCCAAAATACGTAAAATTCGCCCATGTCTACCTCATTACGAAATCACTTGTAATGAATTGGTCACTTGGAGATTCTGCCGCCCACTCAGAAAACAATTTTGAAATGAAAGAAAAGCCACGTTCGGGAAATGAGCCGAAAATGAGTCCAATACAACCTAACTATCGGTGTGTTTGGTGAACACCTATTGATTCAAACCACCAACGTATCCGCATTTGTAACACAATCCCGCGACCTGTTGACCCGCAGGTCACGGGATCGAATCCCGCCTGCAATTTCGATGGAGGTGCAAATGTTTTAGGCCCGTGCACTCAGATTTGGGTGCATGTTAAAGAACCCCAGTTGGCCGAAATTTCCGGAGTCCTCCACTACGGTGTCTCGCATAATCATAGGGTGGTTTTGGGACGTTAAACTTCACACATGAAACATCAATCTAAACCTTTTAGTCCTAGAAAAAGTAAGAGTACAACGTTCCAAGATTTCTATAACGTTCTGCAAGAAAAAAAAATCTCGATAGATTGTTCAGCAGCAAAAAGAAGCACTTTTGAAACTGCAGTGATGCATTTTAATCTTTTGTTTGCTGGTAAACGTGACGCGACGGCTATCTGCAGGCACTGCAACCACCGTTTATTGTGCGGCATGAACGAGTATCGGCGACCCCGCACTCACAACGAAGGATGGTACCGAGAAAGAGCACGTGAAAAATTTTGTCCTGAAGTTTTGGTTTAAAACCAACGACCACATAAAAATTGTTGACAATGAAACTAAGTTGTAAGAACGAAACGACAGTGATTGTTTATAAAAGCACGGCAACTTTAATTTGAATAAACGCGTCAAGTGAAAAATAAAACTGCAGGCACAGTTACAGCGCTAAAATTCAGCGAAAAATGTTTAATTTACTTACAATGTTTTAGGCATCAAGGAGCTCAAACACTAAAAACACATAAATAAAGCTGAAGAAAAGTGCCAGCTAAATTGCTACCAGTAAGAGAAACCTGTGAGGGGCTCAAGCGCATATACAGAGTGCTGCGGCACAGAAAGTGGCTCCTCCGGCAAAGCATGCGCTGAAGGTTCTGATGGCAGTCGCAAGCCTCCTCCATGATGCTGCGTCGTGTGCTCTGCCTCGTTGACGCTTGCAGCCACGACATCCACCAACTCCCGCGGGCCCGCAGGCTGTCCTTCAGGCCTTCTGGGCAGTTCGCCAGGCGCCAGAACCCTGCGCATAGGGTTCCGCGCCCGCCATATAGCGAATGCTCGGTAATGGAAGCGCGCCGTCAGAAGCGACCAGGCCAAGTATGCAGTGATCAAAAGACCCGCTAGAGTGACCAGGCTGGCCGCCTCTATAATGCGGCCTTCCAGCGCTTGCTTAGAGGCGTTGTGGGCGCACAAGAAGCAGCTGAGCGCGGCCACCGGCGTCAAGAGCGAGAAGCAGAACAAGTCTCCTAGCAGGGCCCGCTGCGAGTCACCGTACAGAGCCCAGTGGTAGAATCGACGCACACAGGTGGCTTGTGCTACGGTGGGAAAGCGGTGGCGGCAAAGTTCGCAGTAGTCCACGTTTCGGACGTTCAGCCAATGTTGCAGGCACGAGGCGTGCAGCAGGCCCATCGTACCGGAGCACTTGCACAGGGATATCAGAGATTCCGTGTGGTCTCCCTCGTGGCAAATGCGGCATATGGGTCCGCTGCTCGCCGTAATGTTGAGACAGCCGGCAGGTGAAGTAGGAGGGCTGCGAGAACATTCTGGGATATTCTCAGGAGAGCACGTCACATCTGGGCTGAGAGGGCACGACAGCAGTACGTTCTCAGGTGGGATGATAACAGTCCTTTGGTGCCTTTCTTCATCTTCTGAGCTCAAATCGACGAACAAGAGGTAACCTTGGGCAGGGCACAATGGCGCGGACTCGCCGTCAGAAGAGAGCTCCCGGCCGACGGAACCACCACGCGTGGGAGGCGTCGAAGGAGAGGACGACGACGAGTGGCCGTTCTGGTCTTGGAACGCTGGAGCCTTCCTGTCGTCATTGAGGGAGGTCCGTCTTCGGAACCTGCCGCGGCGCGGTATCCGGGCGGCAATTTCACGTAGTCGTGAGCAGTGAGCCCCCGTTCGAGACGGAGTGGAGGCAGCGCGGGATTGCGAGGGCGCACCTTCGGTAAATGCCCTGTACGCATCGTTAGGCATAACTTTGCGTCTGTTCGTGAATCCTGGTGATCAACTTTCTGAAGAAAAATTGGAAAGGCGAACAAACCACCTGAACGTCGACGTGGAAGTTGCCGCAGCGCTCCCTTTCGGATGCATTCCGGTGAGGCATGCGTCGAAACAGTGACCTTTCATTTTTTCAGTGTTATCTTAGGCTATCACAATAGGTGTCAGATTATGGTATCATTGCCGTTATAAATTAATTTTACATTGCGCACAACTCACAGAAAAACACTAGTGCCACCGGCTATATGAACGAAGCCCTATTCGCCAAAAAACGCACATAGTGACTTGGCTACAGCTTCGTTGTTACTTCACGAGATATGCACTGACGTCATCGTGCACCATAGTACTTTTATACAGCCTGGGTCGGCAATAAGCTTTCATGGTTGGGTATGCGCAACCTTTTTATGTAGGCGGCATGATAGGTTGCGTACGCTACAAGCGAAGCCCCCAAAAATACTTTCAATTTACCCTATAGACAGTTCCCGGAAGCTGTTTTGTTATGAATATATAGACGCATCGTGTGGGAAATGTAACAGCTTTCGTGTGCTTGTTAGCGTCATTATGTGGTAACGGCCATGATAATGGCCACTGGCGTCCGAGTTAAGCCCGAACTATGTATTCATGGTTTTACATTCTGGGTCATCTTGCAATCTGGCCGATCTTTCATTCGAGATCTAGCGAAAGTATCACGTTTCGATGCAATCGCATGCGCCGGGGTGTTTTTTTCGAACGTACACAGGCATCCGTGCACGTGAAATAGATACGTTACATAATGCGCTTGCGCACTTCTTTCACGTGGCTATCCTGCGTACGTAGGTTTGTAACGTACGCCCAACTAAACGTGTATGTTATATGCCCCTGCCACGGTGGTCTAGTAATTATGAGTGCTCGACTGCCAAGCTGAAAGTCGCGGGATCAAATTCTAGCCGTGGCGGCCGCAATCGGATAGATGCGATGTTCTCGAGACACACCCATTTAGATTTAGGTGCACGCTGAAGAACGCCAGATAGTCGGAATTTCCGGATCCCTCATCTGCAACGTCTCTAATAATCATGGCATGGCTTTAGGACCAAAACCCCCCAACATTGCTGTTGTAAAATTCAACGTTTTCACTGCGCATAACTAATATCAGAATAGCGCAAACTGCGAGTGGTACTATGTATACAATATGGGTACTATAAACATGATACTACATGAATGCTCACTAGTGCGCGTACAGAGGGGAGGGGTGAACAAAGCACCTTCGTCGATTTCACTTGCTGATGTGATTGATTATCATTGAGGGCTCTAACGCCCCAAAACCACCATATGATTATGAAAGGTGCCGTAGTTGAGGGCTCCGGGAATTTCGACCACCTGGGGTTCTTTAACGTGCACCCAAATCTGAGCACACGGGCCTACAACGTTTTCGCCTCCATCGAAGATGCAGCCGCCGCAGCGGGGATTTGATCCCGCGACCTGCGGGTCAGCAGCCGAGTACCTTAGCCACTAGACCACCGCGGCGGGGCACATGCTCAGAAGAAGTATACAAACGACTAGATTTGAAATAGGAAGAAATAAAGACAAACGAAGGCTATCCCAGAAGCTTACAATTTGCAGATGGTATAGTGCTCTTCACCAATGATGCTGACGAATTAGAAAAAAAAAGAACTGAGTGAAGACCTAAACTGAAGTAGGACTAAATAAAGTTGTGCTCGTAACAGACAAAGATAATGGTATATATTCTGGAGAACAAAAAAGTGTTCAAGATTGGTGATGAACCATTGGAAACTGTACTAGAGTACGTTAGGTACGTGAATTACCCAGAGTAGACCTTACGCAATGAAAAGTCCAGAGAAAAAGAAGGATGTGTACACGGCAGACATTTACAAATAATGACGGGTAATCTCCACTTTCCATAAAGCAAAACGTACAAAATAATTGCGTACTGATAGTTTTTTATATGGGGCTGAAACTTGGACCACACCAAGGAAACTTGAAAACAAAAAAAAATGTAAAGGAATGTTGTTTACGTTAGTGTGGTACTCGGGGGAAATAAGACAGCCAAGTACTTCAGGCAGCTAACAAAGAGCTGAGAGTTTTCAATATAGCCTGACGGACTAAGCCCTGAGGATGTTCCAGGCTAAGTGGTGTGGAGGGCATGGCCTTACGACTCTTTATATGCCACTGCACAGGTGGTGTAGTGAGAGGTCGCGGTTGTTCGATGACGCTTTCAAATTAGCGTAAGAGGAGCTAGGCGTGACACCTCTCTACAGTTTTTTTGTGGTGAGAACAACACAGTCTTTGCACTTAATTCCACCAGTAGTAGTTCAGCGGAGGCCGGAGCTTTTGTTGCGGATATCGTCGCACTTCTTGAGCTTCGTAAAGCGGGGTGGGCTGTGTTGGTGCAGCCACTGCTTGCGCATTCATCTTCTTTCTGTGCAAGTGCTTGAGTTGAAGCGTGTCTTCACTGCTGTAGGTGTTGGAGGCAGTTAATTCATTCGAATGGTTGGTAAACATGAAACAATATTCGATTCACGAGGAAGCGCCTGACTGCGGTGCATTCGCCACCTAAAAAATCCTCGTGGTTTAGTGACATCAATGTTGTGAAAATCGGGTCCGGTTTCTCTTGCTGCATCTTAGACCAAAGTAGGCGAGCTTCGATAATTGTAAAAAGGAAAAGAGTAATCGGGCTGTCTGCTTGTCGAGTCATCTGCTTAAGTTATTCTTGTCGAATCATTTCCACCACCATAGGCTGGACCACATTCAGGCGTGTCCGGAGGTTTCTTACCAGTAACAGTGCTCCTAGTAGTTCGTTTGTTCTTGCATGAGACGTATTTAGGCATCACGCAGGAAGCTTCGTGACAGGGTCTCCAGGCTCTCACCTGGTGTCCTTGTTGTAGGGCTGACTTCATTGACTGCACAAGTTCTGCTGACTGTTCGTGCTGGTGACACGGCACACAGGTCACGTCACGTGCTTGTTCCGACACAGTTTAGGAACGATTAAAATCGGATGCTAACAAGTTGCTCGCCGTGCCTCGTTGCAAACAGTTCAGTTACGCCAAACGAGTGGAAAATTCTCTCATCAGTGAAATGTTTTTTGTTGATTAATTCACAGCGGAGACATCAGGTCATTTTGAATGGGCGCCGACTACGCCCGCAGACATCTTGTTGCCTATTGGACACGCGAAATTCAAGGGAAGTATTCACCATGGTAGTATTGGCCATTATGATAGATGTCGCGATGTAGCAGGGCACTGCGCGTTGCCGGACGTTGCATTGGATAAGCTTGGTAACTTTTAACGCGGTATTAAAGCTGAGCATCAACCGTCGGCAATAATACAGAACTGCGGGTGAGTTTTCTTAATCTAATCACTTTAAGACCCCAATTCAAGACAACTACGTAGTAATTACCACTATTGATAGGACTGGTCTAAATGAATATAACTGTTTCACTTCATCATCGCGGAAACATAACATGATGATCAGTAACACCATAGTGGAGTGCTCCGGAAGTTTTGACCTCGTGGGGTTCTCAATGTGCGACCGTAATCTAAGTACATGAGCATTTTCGCTTCGCTTCCATTTGAAATATGGCCGCCACGGCCAAGATTTGCACCCATGATCGGCTGGCCAGCTGTCGAGAAATATAAACAATAGACCACCGTGGTGGGTCAAGACAGCCTATAGTATTATGTTTACAAATTATACATTGACGTATAAAAAATGCTGGGCAAAACTACGGCCCTAATTCATTTAGGGAGCTTCATAAGACCGACCCTGCTAGTGAAAAGAGAGTTTTATACAAAGGTGTATAATTAGAAGCGATAACTTTACTTCTCTTCCGTGGGTCACGAGACTAAACGCAAAGTGAGCAATCTTTTAATACTCACCAGCAAATCCATCCGCAAAGCGGCGCTTGCAGACAGGCTCTGCCACAGCATTGGCGTTCCTGTATCTGTCCGGCGTTTCCACGACTGCAGGAAAAAGAGGAAGAGACTACGAGATGCTCGAGATATGGGGACAGCTTTCTGCTGTGTCCCTTGGGCTTTGGGCTTTCACATTGCTTCTTACATCTCAACCATCTGGTTCTCAATTAGAGCTTCGCGAAGCACTTGCATAAATGGGATGACTTTGTCAAATGACATTGAATCCAATATACATTGAACACGCGATCACATTTAGGTCACGTTCTCATCCTTTAACTGTTCTACTCTTAATGTGTAATAAATAAATAGGACTTTTGCTTAGCGTTATTTATCGAAAAGAATGCTAAAATGTTTTTAGACAGTAAAACAAGCGCTGATAGGCTCCAACTAAGTGCACTTTGTTTCAGGTCTTTGATTACATCTCGGTACGTCTATTACAATGGCGGAGAACTTGCTTGCTACCCCTGCAAGGTTACCACCCAAGTGTGCAAAGTGTGCCATCAGGTTGGTCACCGTTCAGACGTCTGCCCCCAGCCGGATACTCAAGTGTGTCACGTTCGTGGACAACGGAACCCTGAAGCTGGGCACGAGTGCACTCCGACGTGTGCAGATTGTGGCGAGGGTCATTTGACAGACGACTGAAGTTGCAGGAAAGGATTCAAACCTCCGCAGAAAAGAACCTCAAGGGCTAGTGTGCACCAGCCTAATCTGAACGACACCTCACCGAAGCCACCTCAACACCCCCGCTGGTTCAGTTCTGATGGTGAACAATCTGCCCTAAACCACTGGCCAGAGTTGCCAGAGAGTCGCCCAATGTTCAGCTCTAGATACAGATCTATATCGAGATCCCGGACTCAGAAGGACTCTCCTCACAAGGCCCCACCCCATTTCCACTTACACAAGTCACCTAAATCCGGGACTTTAGGCTCTGCAATCAAGCAAGCGCCCGAAAATGGTGAGGTGAGCTATGCACAATTTGATTCTCTCGCTGCTTCTATAACGGCTAATCCGGAATATCTAAAAATCATTAGTGAGAACAAACTCCTCCGTGAGAGCTTGGCAGAAATGAAACGAGAGTTGGCCTCCCTCAAAGCTAACTGCAGTATTGAATCGAGCCAAAAAACACTTTTTAAAGCAAACGGCCAGGTTAC